CAAAATATTTGAAGGTAGGTAAATGACGATTACCAATTTCCACCATGAAAAACAAAATTTATCATTAGGTTTTAAATGGATTGAAACTCCTAGATCCTTTGAGATTCATTGAAAAATTCAATGGCATGTTTAAATCTCGATTGTGCCATTCAAGTTTGTGACTGAGATGCTGAGGATCACAAACAAGGTGTGAATAACCATGCAAATTAGCTTGGTACACCCAATGTTACAACCACCTAATCAATGTGTCGGTTAACCAGACACGCTCCATTGATCTATTATTAACATCAAGCTACCCTTTGCCACACACTGTCAGTCCGAGATTAGTGTTCCGGTTAACCACACACGCTCCACTAACGACTTAACAAGGTGCAAAGTGCAATTTCATGGGTTAGCACCAAATTCACATTTTCCTAAGTAACTAAGATTGGGAATTTATAAGTGTTTAGTTACTTTATAATTATCATTATACTTTTAATGAGAATTTAAATGTCCTGTCAAACCCGTTCGGCTAACGACCCTCCACCAGTCAAGGAAGCGGTGGGTGAGAGTGGACACCCATTAAACTTCCATTTTATAGGCAGTAACCTTATACCCCCCTTATAGACCGACTTCGTGAATGAGGCCTACTAACGGTAAGACTGACTTTTACTCTTATACATACATATATATATATATATATATATATATATATATATAAATATTAAACCTATAATATTGTAATAGTATAAGGGTTGAATTTTAAACTTTTAAAATTCTAGGGTTTGGAACTAAATGTTTCAAAGTGAGACTTTGCATTTACAAATTCCAAAAACTTGAGGGCAAGTTTTGAACTATTCAAAAACTTTGGGTTTTCATAACGTATGAGTTTAATATAGGTTTTAATGAAAAGACTCTTGGAAATCCATAACTTGAGGACAAGTTATGGAGTTCATAAAAACATTTATGAAAAGGACTCTTCAAGTTCCATAAGTTGAGGACAAGTTATGGATGACATAAAACCATTTAAGATGACATTTAAAAATGAGACTCTTCACTGGTTAGATTTGTGAGGGGACTCGGCGAGTTCCCCAGTGGACTCGGCGAGTCCACTGTCCAGGAAGCAGAAAATCGATTTTTTCAAGCTTTGAAAATAAGTAGCATCAAGTATAATGGAAAACAACCTGGCTCTGATACCACTGATGGGTTTTGAGCATTCTAACACTCCTATGGTGTACATGCAACCCTAGATGCTTTGGATATATGTTTTCTCTAATATACATGCAAACTTTCAATTTCCAAAGCATTATCCTAACTAGCATACAATGGAGTATAAACAACATGAAATACAAGTTAGATGACATACCTTTTAGTGTAGTTGGAAACCTTGGACCTTTAACAACTTAGTTCCCCAAGTGTTGCACCTCAAATGGAATCACACAACACCACCAACAATGGAGGAACTAGAGAAGAGATTCCTTGCACACACATAATTCGGCTAGCGCTCTTGCAACTCCCTTAGGTGCCGATTTTGGTAGCTATGAAGCTTCTTATATAGTGTGACACAACTAGGGTTACACCATGTAAACCCTAATGTGCATGACTTTCCACATTCCTTAGGCTCCATGGGTTTTAACCTCCATGAAGTATCCATGGGTCACCACATGGGTTTAGCCCAACATAAAGAACTATGGATTATAAGCCCACTTTATAAGAATGAATGATTTACACAATCAATCCCCATATATTTAATTAGTCTCTTTTGATCACTAAATTAATTCCAAATTAATTCTTGATCAATACTAATTAAATAATATGATTTCATATTAATATATTAGAACTTATAATATATTAATAAACCATAAATAACCTCTTCTCAATTATCCGTCCTTCAGACTGTTCCGGTGCCATGCAACCCAAATGGACCATGCTACTCTCGGATCAAGTATATATCAATTATAGTTATGGACTTAGACATTAATCCAACAGTTAGTACTCTATGCATCTATTATTGTACCTTAATTTATGGATGATGTTTGAGCTACTATAAAGTTTATATGGGTTATATCTCAATGTTGATGGGTGATTAAGGTCCCAATACCTTATTACATCTACTTTTCATGTGTTTTATGTTTCATTTATGATACTGGTTCCTTTTTGTTGAGTAACATTAATCACACATTGTGATTTAGTGCAAATTGAGTTATATGTACTCATTAAGCTTCTAAGTGAAGTTTGAGAGATATTTTGATGTTTGATGTCTCTTCCAAGGACATGAACCATGTGAGGATCTTTTCCTAATTTTAATTGAAATATTTTAACCTATGTCTGATGTTACATGAGTCATTGAATTCGTCTCTTGAAGAGTTGAAGGTCAAAACCTTTGTTCATGGCTTCTTTTGGAAAATTCTACAAAGAAATAGGTGTACAACAAGCATGCCATGGGGTGTGTCATCCACGGCCAATGTGACATAGGTCGTGTCAGGTGGTCTGATTAGATCTAATACTTTGCTTGTATCTTTAGTTTGGTTCATTCCTTTGGTTTTCTTTGGCTTCCATAATTCATATTAGGATACTTAAGAAGCATTAAGAGATTAGGACATATTATTGAACCATAAAAATGTACTTTGGTCTTTTAACAACCTATGATGACGAGCTTAGGTGATGATTGGGAAACATAAATCTTGGAGAAGTGTAGTGCAAGTGAGGAAGAGCATGATTATGTGCTAAGCATTGGACTAATGTGAGTTTACCGGGAGTACACATCCCTATACATTTCCTTTGTGTTTTGATGAGTTTTTCTTGGTTTTTATAATATGATATTATAATGTAAACCTTGATTGCAATGTGGATTATTTTTGCATTCATGAAATCGTATTTTTCTAAAACCATTTGTTAATATAAGTTAAAAATACTTATTTTTGAGAAAAAAAAAGTTTTAACACCCTACTTATTACATACATGCTAGGATGGGGGTGTGACTTGTATGAACTCGGACCCAACCAACATATTTGCATGATAGTAAGTAGATTTTTAGATAATTCTTACATCCACATGAAGGCTAACTACCCTTTTGTATGAGACTTTAGATAATGCCACTGTAGTTCTTTAGTTCTTAGTATAAGAGGATTTCCATCTTGGACAATATAGGCGAGATTTCCACCTAGTGGTAGGATTTCTACCATTAGCTTTAGGGGATTTCCCTATAGTGTCTTTTGTCATATTGTGAGACTATTGAGATTGACAAAAAGGTTAGAATATATGCATGCATTGCATACCCATATCATGAAATATTCTTGATTACCCCTTTGTGAATTTGAAATGATTAGTCAATATTATGTTAATAAAAGTTTAGCGCTTGTGTGTGGGGTGGAACTTTAGGGCATATAAGACCCCTTTTAAACTTGATTTGAGTCATTAAAATCTCAAAGTGTTTTGAGTAACTTAAAATGTGTTTTTAGTTTGTGGGAACCTTTAAGTCATATAAGACCCTTGTAAACTTAAAATAGGATATTAAAATCCAAAGTATTTTAGGTTATTCAAAGAGTTTTTGAATAATTTAAAAAGTTTTTGAAACATGTATGTGAGACTTTGGCTCATATAAAATCATTCTATTTTAAATTTGAGTTATTTAAACTACAAAGCGCTTTCAAGCGTTTTCAATTTTTTTAAAGCTTGATTCAGATAAGTTGCTAATGAGTCAACCTAGGTGAACTCACGAGATAATTATATTGCCTAAATTTATTTTAATCATTTAATTTGTGATTTAAGACCCTAGCTTGTATAATGATTAATCTAGACATTAATGATGCCACCAAGGCCGGCTCAACCAGTTTGGGGACTCTAAGCGAACAAAAAAGTTGGGGCCCTTTGACATGATTATTAATCATTTGATTAATAATAACAATGAACGATCACCAATATTGAAAAAATAAAAACTGAAAAACATTAACCCTAATCAGCTTTAACTATTAACCCTAATTAGATAATCAGTTTTGATATCTTAGATTATAAGTATGCTCTATTCCAGAAACAATTTCAACAACACAGTGCAGTGACACACCCTAATTAGATAATCACATTCTAAGATTCAGATGACAGATAATGGAAAAGAAAAACTGAAAAATAAAAAATTGCACATACCGTTTTTAGTGACAGGCTTGAATCATTATTCATCAGAAATTTTTGAACAATGGAGTCGAGTTATCAGTTAATGAGAGTTGAGAGTCCGAGAATGGAGAAGGAAGAAGAAGAACAGAAGGTGATGTGTGTATTTCAGCAGTTCTGAATCGTTAATCAGAGTCCGATTTTTGAGCCGCCCCTAAGAAGAAGAAGAAGAGAAGTGTGATCGTCACTTGTAGAAGAACTGATGAATCAAAATTTTGAGGTGTGTGCGGTGTGCACAACAAGTCAGCGATTCAACTAATATGTACTAGATTTGGACATTGTACTGTATTGGGTATTTTGGGTTAAGTGGGGCCCTCTAGAAATGGGGGCCTTAAGCCCTAACTTTGTTCATCTACACATAGAGTCGGCCGTGGATGCCACAAATTGTATGGTGAGCTTGAACCATATTTTGATATGTTTACCGTTAACAACCTTATTATTTTAAACTTACTAAAATATTTAATATGTTAGAAACGCAACTACTTTTTAGTAAAATCCTTTTGAAAATAGTAAATATATTTTCAACTAGGCCCTAACAAAATGCTGTTTCAAAAGTAAATAAATAAATCTTCAATAACAACGATGATTCGTTTTATTTTATTGGACAAAATAAACATGTATTTTTTATTTCTATAAAATGAATTCTAATTTTTATCAATATGATGTAAACATTGCCTTTGAAATACACACAGAGTTAGCCCAGGAAGACAAGAACCGACTTTATCCCAAGCCCGTTAGGTGTCTTTTAGAAAACTGAGGGGAATTTCGGTGCTTTTTGTAAAGTTTAGGGGGGCTTGTTGTGCAATGGAAACTACGACGATTATATATAATTTGCTAGGGTTTTAGTTGCATTTCACTGGGGCAACTATCGCCGCACGGCTATCTTCGCAGCAACTAGCAGGTTCTCTCATCCTTTCAATATCTCTCTTAACACATTTGATCCTCGATTGCTGTTTTCGTATGCTAATCATAGATGATAAGCTTTATATGGTTTAATTTTGCAATTTAGTCGATCTGCATTTGTGTGAACATCTTCAATTGACCATATACGAGTTTTTATTCTGTTTAAAGAGAAGCATCTTTCTTTTGCAATCATTTTGAATCCTCTATTTTTGTGTGTACGTCGATTTAGAGATGTATATGCTTGTTTATACTTCGATTTAAAGCTCCTTTGAGGTGTGTATTGTTTGTAATTGTTTTTTCTTTTTGTTAACTTTAAAGGTGAAGGTGAAGGAGGAGGAAGAGGAGGATGTCTCACAGGAAGTTTGAGCACCCCAGACATGGTTCCCTTGGATTTCTTCCCAGGAAGCGTGCTGCTCGCCACAGAGGGAAAGGTATACATTGTTGTTTTTTACTTAAAATACGCATTGAGAACACTGTTATGGCTTTGTTTAACAAACTTATTTGCGATTTCGTGTCAACAAAGCCATGTCTATTTGCATCACAAATTTTTGTAGGCTGAAATCATTCTTCTTGATTAACATCTATATTCATTCATCCACCATATTGGGTAGCTCACAAACCAACATCAAAAAGTTTCATTTGTAGTTTGTGGTTTTTGATGTGAACAATAACGTTTCCTCTTCAATTTAATATTATTGGTTTCTTTTACTTAAATCCTCTTGGCTTAATCACTTTAACTACTTGTAATCCTAGACCTAAAAGCACAATCTGATATGATTAAATCATGTTATCTTATGCAATGTCTTTCTTCCTTATATCCATTACAGTGAAGGCTTTCCCCAAGGATGACCCAACCAAACCATGCAAGCTAACCGCTTTCTTGGGCTACAAGGCTGGGATGACTCACATTGTCAGAGATGTCGAGAAGCCTGGGTCAAGTAAAACCCTCTTCAGATCTCCACATACTTTTTAATCTTTGAAAAAAAAGTCTGAAACTTTCTCAGATTCTTGATTAATATAGTTGATTAAAAAACATCTTCCTTTTGATTCACAGAGCTTCACAAGAAGGAAACATGTGAAGCAGTCACCATCATCGAGACCCCACCAATGGTGGTTGTTGGAGTGGTAGCCTATGTCAAGACGCCACGTGGCCTTCGTTCATTGAACACTGTATGGGCTCAACATCTGAGTGAAGACATCAAGAGAAGATTCTACAAAAACTGGTGCAAATCCAAGAAGAAAGCATTTGCCAAATACTCAAAGAAATTCGAATCCGATGAGGGCAAAAAGGACATTCAGTCTCAGCTGGAGAAAATGAAGAAATATGGAACTGTCATCAGGGTTTTGGCCCACACTCAGATCAGGAAAATGAAGGGGTTGAAGCAGAAGAAAGCACACCTAATGGAGATTCAAGTGAATGGAGGAACAATAGCTCAAAAGGTGGATTTTGCTTATGGATTTTTCGAAAAGCAAATCCCAATTGATGCAGTTTTCCAAAAGGATGAAATGATTGATATAATTGGAGTTACAAAAGGTAAAGGTTATGAAGGTGTTGTGACTCGTTGGGGTGTGACTAGGCTGCCACGTAAGACTCACAGAGGTCTCCGTAAGGTGGCGTGTATCGGAGCGTGGCACCCTGCCCGAGTTTCCTTCACGGTTGCCCGAGCCGGGCAGAATGGGTACCATCATCGTACTGAAATGAACAAGAAGATTTACAAGCTTGGGAAAACTGGACTAGAGTCGCATACTGCTCTTACTGAGTTTGACAGGTTTGTTATTTTGAGGACTAAAAATGTAAATAAATGTTATAGGAGGACTGAATGTGTAAATAATGTTGTGTTGATTATTTGATTGTCATAGGACTGAGAAGGATATAACTCCAATGGGTGGGTTCCCTCACTATGGAGTGGTGAAGGATGACTATTTGTTGATCAAAGGTTGCTGTGTGGGCCCCAAGAAGAGGGTGGTGACACTTCGTCAATCCTTGTTGGCACAGACGTCCAGGTTGGCGCTTGAGGAGATTAAGCTCAAGTTCATTGATACTTCTTCCAAATTTGGACATGGGCGTTTCCAGACTACACAGGAGAAACTCAAGTTCTATAATCGCATGAAGGCTTGATGGAAAAGGGTGTTTTGGTAAGTTATGGTTAGTTAAGTTTTTGAATGTTTTTTTTATGAGAACAAGTTTTGGTTGGTGTTTTGTTAAATTGTTATTCAGCATGGACATGTTATTTGATATTATTTGTCTTGGTAATCTTTAATACAGAAAGTATGTTTCAAATAGTTTTTTTGGTTATTTATATTCTACCTTATTTAAAATATATATATATATATATATATATATATATATATATCGTAGTAATAGAGTAGACAATTGCCTTGATGAAAAATTTCGTGTTTCATGTTTGAAGCAAAGACATTAATATCTTAAATTTATATGGTACTATGTTAAACGTGAGCAAATTACACTGAAAGATGTCGAATCAAATGATCAACAAATGGATATCTTTTATCAAGGGTTTGATGCATGTGAAGCTTGTTGAAATGCTAAAGTAAGCTAGCATAGCAAACTTTGTCCAATTAAATGAGAGAATCTGATTATTAAAACCTTAAACGTTAGTTTTTTTTTAATTCTATCTTTATGTTGTCTTTAAATCGGTTATTGTGCTCGATGATTAGAGCATTAAACCATAACATCATACAAATAAATTTAGTGTCATTGACCATTTAGTGTAATTGGTAATAGATATTTAAACAACGATCTAAAAGAGTTTAGGAGGGTGCAAATTGTCTAAAAGCTAAGCTGACTTGGTAGCACAAAGCAGCCTATGTAACTTCTGATAGAGACTACGCTACATATACTCATATTTTGCCGATATGGAACTCTTTCATGAAATCCAACAAGCCAAATACTCTAGAGAAATGAACTTACTATTTTGTGCTTAAAACTTTGAGTGGTTCTCATGGATCATCCGTAATCGAATTCGGGCATAGGAGAGACCTATCAATACATACAGTGAATTCATACAATTTGTGAGATATTCAAATTCTCTCTTTTTTTATTATTTTTTTTATGAACATGAAAAACACTCCCTATAAATTCTACTCCTAAGGGATGGAGAGAATCCTTCCCTCCCTGTCATAGCCCGTGATACACATGAGATATCGCAACATCTCCATCTTTCAATATCATATTGTGTAGTATAAAACAAACGTACATTATATTTTTTTTGTTTACTTCACCATCATAGCCCGTGCATGCATTTTAAATATGCCCCAACGTTCTTTAAGGACCCCAAAAGCACGTTCTACTTTATTTCTTGCTGATTTTTGTGTCACCTTGAACCGTATATTTTTTTCGGTTACTGGATATGGACATTCCTTCACAAATACAACCCATGATGGATATATTCCATCCGTAATATAGTTTCCATGATTGTAGTGTTCGTCATTCAGATAAAAGGAACAATTGGGTCCTGTTCTATGATATTTCTCATCAAACAGTGGTGATTGGCAGAGGACGTTTAAATCATTGTTCGAACCAGCTACACCATAGAATGCATGCGAAAACCACAAATCTTGTGACGTCACCGCTTCTGGTATCATTGATAGATACTGATGGTCACCCCTCATGTATTGACCTCTCAATTCCGTTGGACAATTCCTCTAATTCCAATGTGTGCAGTCAATGCTACCAAGTATTCCAGAGAATCCATGTCTAGCTTCATGTGCTTCATACAAAAGTTGAATGTCAGACGGCGTAAATATTCAGCCTTACACATTTGGACAACACCATAACAAAAGTTTTCAAGAGCTCCACATGAAATTCTTTCTGACATATTCAAATACTCATCTAAGGAGTCTGGGTTATAACCCTTCGTTAATTGACGTATTGCTAATGTGCATTTTTGTAGCGCACTGAAACTTCTCTGATTTGTTGCATCCCATGTTGTTTGAAAGTAAGGATAATTTATCTCCATGTCACCAACAAGTTGTATAAACAAACATTTTCTCATACAAAACCTTCTGCGGAATTGTGCGTGACCATAAGTTGAATCATCCGCAAAATAATGTCGGATCAACAATCTTTCAGCTTCTAAATGATATTTGTAGATTGTGTTTCTCCTTTGAATGTTGTTTGAACTAACATTATTCTGGAGAAGAAGTTGTGCAGTACGAGACAATACAAGTAACAAATTATTGTTGATAAGTTCATCCTCAGATGATAAGCTATCATCATTAACTTTCATTACTATTTTCCGAACGTTTGGATTCATTTTGAAAAGAGAGAAAAGATAGAGAGAAAATGAAACAAACATACATATATATAGATAATGAAACAATCATACATATATATAGATAATGAAACAAGCGTACATATAGAGAATCTTAATAAAAAGAAAAATAAAAAGAAAAGGAAAAAAACATAATAATAAAGAGAAAGATTCTCCGTCAAATGATGCCGACATTTTGAACTTCACGGGTTCTCCAACTCCCAACCATACTTAGTTGCAATTTGTTGTTTCCTTTCAAAGCATTGTGCGTAAAATACCTTCAGTCAAATGATCATGCGGTCGGAGAAAATACTCCATAAATTGGTTATCTATCTCCCAATCCAACAGTTGAGCTTTTCGTTCTTCATTAGCTACGAGAATGCGTGGTTTTTTTTCCCGATACCGTTGTCTCTGTTCTTCTTCTATTTCAGTTGTAGTCTTGATTCCCACAATTTGTTTGACGAGATCAAACATTTCATTTTCCGTTGATGATGCTGATGTCGCTTCTTTTATTTTCTTTTTGTCTAAGGCGGTGAGTCTTCAACACTAAGCGACTGTTGTTATTGGGGGGAGAATCTAGGAGGATAATGTGGATCAGAAGATGATGTGTAGGCATTGGATGAAGATGTTGTGGTTCGTTTAGAAGAAGGAGGTGGAGCGTCTTCATCAGGTTTTGTAACCGGTGCCTATTTATTGTTGTCTTTCAACCACTTCCAAACTTGTTGATGAGGAAAACCTTTCTGAATAATAGTCCTCCGATACTCGCTTAGTGAATATTGTAAAACATCTGCCTCAGATCTCCCGCTAGCCATACTGCTCATCTTACGGTTATAGATGCAGTTGAAAGCGTTACATTTCTTTTGAAGGTCTTTTCATTTTGAGTTTACTTGGTGCCGTGAACGATCCGAACCTCCTATTTGAACACTAAAATTCTCTAGAACCCTCTCCCAAAATGCATCGAACCTTTGTTGATTTCTATGTTGTTTATCTTTAAAAACATCGACATATGCCCTAGCCAAAGCCAACTCTTCGCGTTCCACCTAGTTTTTTCGTTTCTGGCGGTGTGTATAGTTGCATTTTTTCTCAGTAGCGGGTTGCAACTCTTCTTCTCCGTTTCTTTCGGGAGGCGGTTCGTCACTATAATTGTCAGATTCTACGTTTTAAGCATTACGGAACTGGAAATTCTCGGGTTAAGAAGAATGAAATTGGGTTTCTGGAACCCTTTGAGAAAAATGATTTCATGGATTATAACTTTGATTTTCCTCTGGAAGCCTAAATGTGTTGTAAGATTGTTGAACCTGGAAATATTGTTGTGGATAGTTTTGGTAGTTTTGGTATTGCTGATAGTTTGGATTGAATGGATTTGTGTTTTTGGCTAGAACCGGTTTGTTTAGCTTTTCCTCAGGAATCCGTTGAATGTAATTAATGAATCGAATGAAATATAAAATTATCCAGAGTAAAAACACTACAAATGAATGAATTATTTATTCATCTTTATATAATATGGAAACATACTACAAAAACATAGAGTAAATAAATTTATAAAACAAAAAAGTAAAAAAAAAAAAAAAAGAATTCGTATGAATGCATTCAAAGTCAAAGGTTACATTCGAAGGTCGCATGCACTTTAAGAGTTACAGTCACATGCATTAACTCTTTCCAGGGAATCTTTTCAATTCAAAAAAAAAACAATGGTCCCACACATATGCACAGATTCACCAATGGGTTTCCCAACCCATTTTTAGATTGTGAAGCTACAAACTCGCTGAAACCGATGGTCGAGTTATCGTTTCCCGGCGGCGATATCTCCCTTACCTTTTCCACAATTCCGTCCTGCCTAAACTATTCATTTTGTCTCCATCAAGACTTGAGACTTCATGACTCATGAACAACTTTCTACCAAGATACTGAGAGGCTAGAAGCCCTTTGTCAAATTCTTAATTATCAAAACCTTGTTATAACCTCATAACTTTCTCTAACACTTGGATCATCTAGATATAAAAGTTATAATTGTTGACAGTTTTATAGAAACTTGTAGCATGGATGGACGAGAGCGAGGGTTGGTGTTTAAACATGCAAAAGCAAGCTCTACAACGTCGTTCACAATTTCAACAACTTGACCTGTAGGTGGCACAAGTCGTTGGTCAAGAACAACATGTCTTGATAACTCTTCAACACTTAGCCTTGACATTGTCAAATCTCCTGGATGCTTTCCCATTATCACCTCTAGTGTCAGAACCCCAAAGCTATAGACATCACACTTCTCGTTCACCGCCATTGAATACGCTAGTTCTGCATATAAATACAAAGAAATCATGATCATCAAACCCAATATGACTCAGTGTGTATGATGCATACTTGTATTTATGATGCATGTATCATTAACAGACACATCCACTGTGTTGATGGACGTGGATGTGTCTGGTTGCTAATACATACATATTTACTGATTTACATATTTGTATGCAAATCATTAAATATGTACTTATATGTATGGGATTGTGCTTGTGCATAATTGCATACATTATGCCTATACATGTATGTATATGTATATTGTGTTTGATATATATATGTATCTTTTTGCTTCATACCTGGAGCACTATAACCGTAAGTTCCTGCGAAAGAAGTCCAGTTCGACGAACCAGCCTTCAAAAACTTAGCCGTGCCAAAATCCGATAAGTGAGCAATATACTCCGAATCAAACAAAATATTACCACTTGATAAATCTCTATGAATTATCGGTTCCAAACAATCATGATGCATATACGACAACGCATCCGCAACACCTTTGATTGCATTCAACCTCTTGCACCAATCAAATTCTTTGGCCTTTTCGGCATCATTTAGTATCGTTCTTAAACTTCCACCATCTATGAACTCATACACCAAAAACATGTGTCGTGGATGCGAACAAAAGCCATAAAGCTTCACGATGTTAACATGTCGTGTTTCGGTCAATGCATGGATCTCATTCTCAAAACCTTTAACATCCCGCAACTCGTTGTCTTCTTGTGTGTTAAACTTTTTCACAGCGACTATTTCACCGGTTGGTAATTCGGCTCGATAGACTGTTCCACAACCCCCGATCCCAATTATATAGTTGGAATCGAAGTTTTCAACCGCTTCAATGATAGTTTCATATACCATTTTCCCATCGTAGCTCCAGATGGCGAAAGGAGATTGGTTTATAGACTCCCGTGGCTCGTTTTTCTTCTCTTTTGATCGCCGGAAAAACAAGATTCCGGCTATCAAGAGAAAAAGGAAGCACACGGTTGGAAGTATAATCAGAATCAGAAGAGATCGGATGTTTTTGCGAGTTCTTTGTTTCGTAAGGCAATTGTTTAAACCAGTGATATTACCACATAAACCTTTGTTGTTTTCGATTGCTTCGAATGGTGCTTCTTGAAAGACATGGATATCAGGAACCTGACCTTCAAACTGATTGTATGATATATCGACAGTGATCAAACTCAAAAGGTCAACAAAAGTGGATGGGATTGAACCAGTGAGATTGTTATGTGAGATGTTCAAAATTTCCAACATTTTCAAACCTCCAATCTCTCGTGGAAGTCCTCCGGTGAGCCTATTGTCACCTACATCAAGAACTTGAAGCTCAGCCAACCTCATGAGTTCAACTGGAATCGTGTCCTGTAAATCGTTCCCACTCAAATTCAAAATCCGCATCCTTATACAGCCACCGATTTCACTTGGAATTCCACCATTGAGAGCATTTTTTGCCAAATTCAATCTTCCAAGATTCATAAGTTTCCCGAATTCACGAGGGATGCTTCCAGAAAGACGATTATCATCTAGAAAAAGATCGAGCAACGAACTTAATCTTCCTAAACTTGGCGGGATTTCCCCAGTTAACTTATTCGCTGAAAGATCAACTTCTTGCAACCGAGAGTCTCCAAGATTGTCGGGTATTACTCCAGAAAGATTATTATTAGACATCTTGAGAGCCATTAGGCTACGACACTTCGCCCAGTTTGTAGATACCCCTCCATAAAGATTATTATAACTCATATCAACATACTCCAAGTCATTATACACACCAAAAACATCCGATATGTTTCCTGTAATCCAGTTCCCATCGAGCCTGAGTCGTAACAATCTACTACAGTTTCTGATCGAACTCGGGATCCGACCCGAGAATGAGTTGCTGTTTGCCGTGAATATCTGGAGCGACCCACGATCGCATATACGGTTTGGTAAACGTCCTGATAGCTTGTTGCTTCCGAGCGATAATGTCTCCAGTTTTTCCGTTACGTTGTTTAGTTCTTCGGGAAACGAACCCGTAAGATTGTTAAGCGATAATGCCAAATCAAGAAGCGATTTAAGTTGTCCTAAAGCCGGAGGAATCGAACCCGATAGTTGATTTTGATGTAAATACAACGATACAAGCCTTGTGTAGTTTCCTAAAGAACTCGGGATTGAGCCTGTTAGATGGTTGTAGTAAAGACGGAGATCGATAAGTGTTTCTGGGTTTCCCAATTTGGGAAGAATGGAACCTGTTAACTGGTTGCTATGAAGGTGAAGACGTTCGAGTCGAGTGAAGTTTTCAAAAGAACTCGGAATTGAACCGGTGAGATGGTTAACTGAAAGCCGAAGGTCTAGAAGGTCTTTTGGGCCTCCTAGTTGAAACGGGATTGGGCCAGAGAGTGAGTTTTCGTGAAGGTTAAGGTAGTACAATAGGGTTAAGTTCCCTAAGGAAGATGGGATACGACCGTTGAAACCGTTAGATGAGAGATCGAGACTCTCGAGGGAGCTTAACTCACTGAGTTGTAACGGGATTGATCCAGTGAGTTGATTTGTGGAAAGATTCAAACTTTGGAGAGTTGTGAGAGATGAGAAGTTAAGATAATCGAGTGTACCTCGTAAGTGAAAACGATCAAGATTGATGCTAATTATGACATGAGTTGTGTTGTTGCAGCCAATGCCGACCCAGTTGTTGCATGGGTTAGACCCGACCCATGATGAAAGAAGCTTACGGGTTTGGTCATCCAGAGTTGCTTTCCAGTTCTGGAGAGCCGGAGCTACCATGGAATTAGTTGCGAGAAATAGTGTGATCAGGGTATGGAATATGACGATTGTAATTAGGGATGATTTCATTTTGGCTAAAGATTGATGAAGAAGATAACATATGAGTATATGATAAAAAGTTCATTTGCGTAGTGTAACAGGCTCTGACGAATGGTTTGACTAATTTGGCTATTTAATTATTTCTATCTTATCACTGAAAGAGATACATGCGGTTGTAATATTATTTTTTAAACCATTTATTTGTGAAATGTAATATTGTGGTTGGTGGGGATTCGGAATGGAACTTCAACAAAGGTTTCATAAATCATAATTGATTTAGGAGTCGTCAAATTTGAGAATATGCACTTGAATAAAGAATGTACTGCTCTATTATTTCCTATGAAAAATGGTGTACAACTTTTGAGAGTTTCTGTAATAACCAAATTGCTACCTACTTACTTAATTCTAAAACTACAAAAATACCCCCCCGCCACGTCATCACAACAGCAGCTTTAATCAATTATATGCTCCAAATTGTTTTTTTCTTTCTTTTTTGTCATAATAATTATCAGAGCAGGCATCCACCATATTTCACCCAAGAAACACACACACACACACCTCAAATTCAGGGCTCAAGCTACAGCTTGGACCGGTGGTGCGTCTGATCTGAAATCCCGACCACCACCACCACCGCCGCCGCCACGTCCTCGTACACCACCCCTTCCCCGCCAAAGACCACGCCCACGCCCTGCAAAAAACATTCATTCATGTCTTAATGGGCTTAATGGCTCAAGTACTTAACATTTTGAAAATTGTTTTGGAAATGTAAGGGTAAAATGGTCATTTTGTCTTTGTTTTAGACTGTTTATTCGGTCGTTCACAGTGGCCTACTAGGTAGCTGACATGAAAACAGGTTTTGAGAAGTTACCACGTCCGGGAGGAGGCATTCGCCCGGATCCACCATAATCATTATAACCACCGAATTCTTGTGGTGGAGCACCGCCACGATAACCACCACCACCGCCACCACGTCCACGGTAACCGCCACGACCTCTTCCTCGTCCTCGCCCTCTTCCACCAAAACCACGCCCGTCATCCCACCCACCACCATATCCTTGCCCATCTTCCCACCCACCATCTCCATTGTACTCGATCCCTCCATTGTTATAATTTCCTACAAAAATTTACAATTCTATAAAATATATTATGTTCCCTTTAACAAGTCCCATTGCCAACATGGGAAAGGTAAATCACGGAGGTGATGTCGGATCTAATTTTCTTACTGCTAGGGCAAACATGTGGGAACAGAAAATGTGTAAATTTTTAAGAAAAATAAAATAAAAATTATAGATGATTATTTACCTCTACCTCTACCCCTTCCACGACCACGGCCTCTTCCACGCATGTTAGGTGAGCCATCTAATGCATTATGATAAATAATTAATTTTGCAAAAGTTTATAAATTTTCTAGTAGTAAAATTTACTTAACAAAAGGAAATATGTTATGAAAATAAAAAGGTTACCTCCTTCATGATCGTATTCTACTAATGGTTTCACTAGATCAGCTGGAATAGGTTGTTGATACCTGCAGTTAGGGCAAAAATGGAATTTCAAAAAACCACCTTGTTGACCAAAATTGATGTAAGGCCTTGTTTCTTTTTTCCATGTAGTCTTTGTCTCGATAAATGTTTGTTGGAGTGTAAGGGTAAAATGATCATTTGACCTCTGTTTTATTCACTTATAAAAAGAAACAACTTTTATGTTATCTGGACAAACATTATTTACCCATTCAGCCACTCTATCCATATGGGAAAAAAAATCCTATTAACTGATTATGGCATTATTTTCATCACTATTAAAAGAAATAAAATATTGGATGGTGAAATTATGAGAAGAAAGTTTAGGGAAGTTTACCCGATGGATGATGTGTCAAGCTCTTTTCTTGACAAGGTAATCGTAATCACTGACACGTGGCGTGTAGTTTCAAGACTAAATTCAAGAAAAAAAAAAGTTATTTCCACGTCATTATAACATCAAGAAAAAATAAAAAAATGTTCTTACGGGAGGAGGCCTTCTTCGAGTGGTTCCCACATATCTGTTATATCGGCAGAACCAATAGATGTAATTTGATGGAGACCAGCAATCCTTCTCTGAAACAAGTTTTTTTAATCAGAAAAAAATAAAGACGATGTATAGGTATGGAAAGAATCAAAAATTGTTATATGAATCACTAATTTTACCTTAATTAATTCAGCTATCATAACAGTTTTGTTAATAGCTCTGCCCATGGCCTTGAGAGAAATCTCATCAGCTCCTTTCTCCTGTAAGATCATATCAAGTTCATCGTGAAACAAAAACTCCAGACATATAAAGGGCTAATCGCATTGAGAAAGAGACAAACTTTATGCTCATTTATGTTTAAACTATTACTTTCTATATGGAGACAGTTTAAATTGAGAAGCAGGCCCACTGAGACAAAACATCAAACACATCGTAGGCATCCCAAAAACGAAATCGACCAGTTATTCTTAAGTCTTGCTTGAACAAACCCAACTTATCGATTGCAAAAATTATAACGAAAGAAGGCCCGATTCCAATAACATGAGATACTCCAAGTTTAGATTAATCCCAAAACTAAGAACAAGAACAAAAAAAAAGAAAAGGATGCGAAAATAAAGACCTGGACGAGAGTGATGGCATAAGTAATGTAGTTCCGCATCCTCCCCTGAGTGGTTATACGAATCTCATTCTCATTAATCGGCGCATCAGTCCTTGGCTTCTCTACCCTCTGATACCGATCCATATCTACACATACATGTCAATAATCCAGATAATAATGAAAATCCCATATCGATGCAACATACACCCAGAAAAGCTAAACATAAACATAAAAAAAAAACTGGCAAAAGATGTGTAAGAAAGAAGGAGTACAGCTGATTGATTGTTGAGTGATAAAACTGAGACCCTGAAAAGCAGCTCTGCTCTGAAAAGTTTTATTGTGATTTGGCAATAGGAGTGGATAGCTGCTGATAGTAGAGAAGTAATGTATGTGTGTCGTTAAAGAAAGAGAAAAGAGTAGGGTTTTGTAAGTGTGGCGGTCGTATCGCCAATCAGACCGCCGTATTTATCTAATCTTATATTTTTCGCCTTTGAATTTTTGATGTCTATAAATCTTGGTTTCAACCGATAAAATCGAAACATAGGATTCAGATCGGACCACATGGGATTCAAGTAACCTGGTTTAGAATATATGTAGTTTTTTAGGTTTTAGCCGAAAGTTTGTGTATAAATTGTTTGTTATAAATAGTTATAATCATTTTTAAAATTACATAAAAATTAAATTACATAAAATTGGAACCGAAATATATTTCCATATCTCAACTTTGAAACAACTTAGTTTTAGGCTTTTAGCTTTATATCTCAAAATTGCGAGAGATCGGTATGGTTTTTTTATTCTATTGTTTTGTTTTGTGTGATCGGTTCTAACTAGACATACATCTTTAGTAATTATTCATCCTGCCAAAATACTATATTAATGTTACGCTTTTTTTTTCATCACTAACTCTTTTTGTTATACTTATGATATGGTGATGACTATGATATCGAAATTCCAAAGAAAACGTTTAAGGAGAACACTTCGCTTTCCAAAAGTTTGATATATATATATATATATATATATATATATATATATATATATATATATATATATATATATATATATATATATATATATCAAACTTCAAAAAAATGTCAAAATAACTTTAACTTTGTGGTTAAATAACAAAACATAAACTTTGAATAAAAATATTGGGGTTGAAATGACATACATTTATTACATTGTGAAGTTCCATTTTAACAATATCCTGCCTTAATTATGCCTTAATCACTTTTTAATTACAAATATTACATAATTAGTTACTAATCAATAAGCATTAACTAATTTCATCCCAATTACTATTTGACATAATGTTGTCATTTTAGACATATTTCATCATTTCAATAAGTGTGTTGATTAACATTATTAGTATTAACTACATATCTGAAGACGTTAGAAGACAGAGAACCTTATCATCAAAAATAACCTTGAATGGATCCCATTCGTCATGTCCAATGAAAGAAACACATTCATTCCAAAAGGAAGCACCATTTTTAGTTAAAACCTTATCGTCAAAATTACATCAGTCTATGATATAATCCCATTAAATTATACTAATCCCCACAATACAATTACAACCTCAAAATATGCACAAAATTAACCACCATAATATAACCCTAACTTTGAAATCGCCTCATCTTGGACCCGATAATTCAACAGCATGCAAATTCTCAGTGGAATCAAGAATCCAATCGGAATTAGGATGTGGTGCTAAATCCATTTCCTGTCTTAAAACTTCCACTTTCTGCCATTCATCCCATCTTTCAGCCAATCCATCACCTTCCAGCATTCTCACCACATCAGACATCTTAGGTCTCTCCATTGGAGACCCTTGTGTACACAGCAATGCCACCTGTATCAGTTGCTCAACTTCCGAATCCACATAATTCGATTCCAAATCCGGATCCACAAGCATTTCCACTTTCCTCTCTTTCAATAGCCCTTTAACCTGAAATCAATCCACAATGGAATGGAATCAGAATCAACAAAGGAATGGAATGAACAAGGTAATGGAATAGTAAATAGTTACCCAATCAAGTAACATGACATCATCATCATTAGCAAGGCGAGCAAGGTCAAACGCCCTTTGACCCGTAATCAACTCCAAAAGCATAATTCCATATCCAAAAACATCGGTTTTTTCGGACGATTTGCCCGTGGATAAGTACTCAGGGGCAATATGGCCAATTGTGCCACGTACAGCTGTCGTGACATGTGTATCTTTATAATCCATTAACTTAGCTAAACCAAAATCACCAACAACCGCTTCAAACTCTTCATCCAATAAAATATTTGCAGCTTTGACATCGCGATGAATGATTTTTGGGTCACAATGATCATGCAAATAAGAAAGTCCACGGGCGGATCCTAATGCGATCCGTTTTCGGGTTGCCCAATCCAATGGTGGCTCATATGGAGGCCGCTCTACAAATAAATGAACGGGTTGTAATTTTATATGCAAAAAATAGCAATGTACTTTAAGTACATTTGTTTATTATAATTTATAAGTAATAAGATCTTACTTTTATACTTATAACAAATGTTATTGAGATTGAAATACAATGCAACTAGGGTGATATTATGGCGTAATCTATAAATTTTCTATTAGGCAGGGACCATTTTTTTAATTTTTTTAAACACATGGATCGTTTCTGTATAAAAAAAAGCTGCATAGGGAACATTTCTGTAAATTACAGTGACAGTTTTTGGAATTTAGTTTCTACACAGGGGCCAAACCTGCCAACATACAAAAACCTTAAACATATGGACCGTTTCTGTAAAAAAAAGCAGCATAGGGACCATTTCTGTAAATTACAGGGACAGTTTTTGTAATTTATTTTATACAGAGGGACCAAAACTGCCAACTTACGAAAGTCTAGGGACCAACCTTGCCAATATACAAAAGTTCTGTAGCCAAAGTCTTAAACCCAAAAAGTGTTGGACCAAATATGGAAATATAAAAAAGTTTAGGGACCAAATATGCCAATATATGAAAGTCTTGTGATCAAATATCCGAAACCCAAATATTCTAGGGACCAAATCTGCCAATATTCAAAAATGTTGTGTGAAACCCAAAAATTGTAGGGACTAAACCTGGCAATATAGAAAACTTTTGTGGCCAAAGTCTGAAACCCAAAAACACGTTATTCATTTCTCAATTGAAATTAGTATATATAACAATAATAATTTCAGTGATGTTTCTTTTTTACTTAATGGACTTAATATGGACATGACTTAATCAGGTAAGCTATTCCCTTTTCACTTAATACAGAAAGAAGGACTTCATAGAAGAAAAGGAAGGATTAAATAGTGTTACCTCTCAAACATGATGCTACACTTCCATTAGCCATGTAGGGGTAAACAAGTAATCTTTCAGTTGGTGTCATACAAAAGCCCCTTAATCTAAGGAGATTTCGGTGTACAGCCATACTAATCATCTCAACTTCTGTTTGAAACTGGAGCTCGCCACCTGGCGTCCTCTCCTCTTTCAATCTTTTTACAGCAACGAGGGACCCGTCTGCTAATCTCCCTTTGTAGACTTTTCCAAATCCGCCCCTACCCAATATGTTTTTATTGCTGAAACTATCCGTTGCCACTTGTAATTCTCTTAAAGAAAATCTTTTAAGTTGTCCTAAATGAACTTCTGGATCTTCTTCAGCTGTACACACATGTTTTCAACTCAATTAATTCAATATATTTGAAGAAAAAAAAAAAAAAAAAAAAAAACTTTTTTTTAATGACTAACCAGGCACATCAAAGAAAAACTCTTGAGGCTTTCGACGCCGCCACCATGCAAATGCAATAGCAGGGGCGGCAAACAGCAGTGCCGCCCCAGCCGCCACCCCTCCGGCGATAGCTCCGGTGGCACTATTTCCACCTGAAAATATAAATAACACAACAATGGATTCTTACTTTCAAAAAAATTGAACATAAAAAAGATTATAGAAATATTTTGAGCTAATCACCTGGTAGAGAAATTGGTGGTGGCTCCACAAAAGGTGGAGGTGGTGAGAATGGAGGTGACCCCGGGCAGGGGTGCCCGGTGACCGGACCACAAAGATCCAGGTTGTTAGCAAAACTAAGAGTTTGACATTAATCGTGTATCAGTTATATTCTTGAAAAAAAAATGAAATAAGAATAAGATTATTTTATTAACAAACCTGATTGGTGTAAATAGTGAAAAAGATCCATTGTCTGGAACTGATCCTGACAGACGATTATTTGATAAATCCCTAAAATGATAAATTAGAAAATGAGAATAATATTTTTACTTAATGGAAAAAGTCAAAGAATACTTACAGAACTTGTAAAGATGTGATGTTAGTCAACTGCAATGGGATTGGACCAGTCAAACTGTTGTTGTTGAGCCGACTATCCTTACACAAGCATTAAAAAAATATTATTAATTTCTTTTTGGTCAAATGCAAGTCAAAGGATGAGGTAGTCAACATACAGGAATCGCAGCTTTGAAAGCTTGCCCAATGTGACAGGAATTGGCCCTGAAAAACTGTTGAGGTAAAGATCTAAGCTCACTAAATTTGTTAAATTTCCAACATCATTTGGAATTGGGCCACTTATGTTATTGCTGTATAATTCCCTGTAGAAAATAATCAAGAAACAATCATCAAATGTGTGTAATTGTAAATGTAGAAGTGTTATTTTAGAGAATGATACTTACAGGTACTGCAAATTCTTTAACAGACCAATTTGGGGAACCAATGTGCCAGATAGAGCTGCATTTCCTAGATCACTGAAAATTTCATGGTGTGAAGAGATTACATGAATCTATGAAGTAACTGAATGTATTGTTAATTTGTTATTCAAAGGATTTAAATAAAAGGGACACAGACTTACACTCGTATGACACTATTATCATTGTTGCAGGTGACATGAAACCAAGTGCAAGGGTTTACAAGGGTCGGATCCCAACTTTGGAGCACACTATTCGGGTCATCCAAATTAGTCCTCAAGCTATGCAACGCATCACCTGTTAACAAGATGGTATAATGGACAATCAAACAGTAAGATACATATCACATGTGTAGGAAATAAGAATTAAACCAAATTATGTAACTGATTCTATTGCTAAATTTAGTAGCCTAAAGATCCCTAATTTGAAAAACAGATTAGTCAAAATCACAATCTAGAAACCCCCCAAAAGTGGAAATTTTGTAACAAATAAATATACATAGCATAACATGAACTCACCTTCCATATTCGCAAAAATGAGCTTCCCTGGATGAAGGACGATGATTGAACACGCTAAAAACAATATCAGAGCTTTGCTCCCCATCACATTCATACACAATGTTGTTGAGGGATTATGTTATTTTGCTTCAGTCATCTTCAACTGTCGTCTCTCAGATCCAAATAATATACACACAACGGCAACATTACAAGTTAGCACAAAATCCCACAAAAACCCTAACCACAAGACTCCAAATTTCCTCAAGTTTCCACCATTTCGGGGAAGAAAAACACCAGGAGAATCAAAATTGAAAGCCTGATCTCATAAAAGGGAAAAATGGGGAAAGAACACCACGAAATTTTCAAAATTTGCCCTTTTTAAGTACGATCTTTACGTATCTTGTTTTGCTAACTTTTCATCTGCTGTTTTACGTTTCTCTCACCATAAATCTCTCTCCCTTTCTCTCTCTCTCTACTGCGGAATGTGTTGGAGAGATTAGAAGCAACTTTTTGGGCGTGTGCAGTGGCTTTTCAGACCTGCCTGCCCGAATGGAACTGCCCGATCTGCCCGAGACTCTAAAACGGCTTCGCGCTATCCAGCTGCCCCGTAATTAAACGTCTTTTTTTTTTTATTTAAGATAATTAGAAAAGTAAAGTTATTCGACTAGGGTTTGCAATATTTTTTAAATTAAATATCCTCTTATATTTTCCTTTTATCTCATGAGGATTATAATTTTTAACCTAACATATAAATAACGGGTTTAGGTTGAGATTTCTGATAGGGTTGGTCCTAAGGAAAAAAAAAGCTTTTATCATTATTATAAGTTTATATATATATATATATATATATATATATATAATAAAAATTAAGTCATATGCAGCTGCCCACTTTGCCTTCCTCAACGCCTCTCATGATTTCGACTCGTCAATCCGTTTATTTCATGTGTTGAGTTACATGTTTGGGTCGTAGGTCAACCCGTCAACCCGACTATGTATCTTATATATAAAAAATAAATTTTTATTTATGGATTAATGGAATATCAATATACGGTGTGCCCTAATTTCTAACACCCCTAACCCTAAATCCAATTCTCGATCCATACGTGAGAAGTTGAGGCTTGAGAAAAATGCATCGCACCCAAACCTTCCGTCGGACGTCGTACTTTACATGAATGCTTTCAATTTCATTTGGATGTTTGTGATTTTATAACTTTATGTTTGAAACCAATTTTTTCAAATGTATTGTTTATTAAGTAATTATGTTAGATTGGTATTTGATTGTTCATTTTATTCTAGTCAAGATAAAATGTTAATTATTAATTAATTTAAAGACGTGTATAACTCGTATAAATTTAATATGTGAAAAATTACCAAAAATAATTTGTCGACTCTTTGACCCAAAATCTACCCACTGATCCATGAACCTATATACTTAAATGGTTATATGGGTTGAGTTGATGTTTCAAACCTGACAACCCATATATTATACGGGTTGGGTTAGATCAATGTATTATAGCTTGCCAAATCGAACCCAACCCAATTGTTAGACTTACTTATTATTATACATATTAAAACTCGTTGTAGCTTATTAATAGTCCTGGTATTAAAATATTATTAATTTCATTTAATATGATAAATATCAACATTTAATATGGATAGGAAAATAATTAGATAAAATATAGGAGGCTATTTAATTTCATATTTTTTTGTTGCAGTTTAATTTATTTATTTTTACAAAAATAGCTAAATTTCTTAATCATTTTTCAAAAATAATTGAAGATTAGATTTTTTTTTTAACCAAGTCATCGAAACCACAGATTAGGCAAACGTATGCGGTTTCATCTAATGTGTTGTGGAATCGTGACCTATTAATCCATTATATTTAAACTTTAAACAAAATCAACCTCATTTTCACATTCAAAGATACGAAAATTCTCTCTTATAGCATAAAACGATGTTTTGATTAACAATCCTGCAATATTTTTTTGTTGATTTCTTGTTTGTTTTTATCATATAGTTGAAATATAATAGCATTTTGTATTTTTTTTGCTTGGAATTTGAAAAAAAAAAACCGAAACGACAGATGGCATAGTCATTGTGATCGTACAAGTTTTAATGCAAAAAATGTGCATTAACGACTTTTGCATTCACAGAAGGATATGTCATCTATGGTATCATTCATCATTTCTTTTCGATTTTGTCGACTTTGTTTGATTTTTTTGCGGTTTCGTTCTTATATGGTATCTCCTGATCATGTATTAGTACTTTGTATAATTGCTTAGTCCAAAAATCAGATTATAAAAATAAAAAATAAAAAAATAAAACACTGAAATCGCAAATGACATGATATCAACTTTCTGGATGTATAAAAGTATAACGATAAACTTTAAAATGATAAAACAACAAGTTGGCTCCACATAGTTTGGTTGAAAGCTAAAATATAAAGGTTACCATAAAGAAGAAAAGGAATTGAATATACTTACATCCAAAGCAAAACTTAGACGTAATCACACCATTTAGAATTCCAACAAAATACAAAGCATATGTGTGGAAACTAAAATCCATGGCCTAAAATCGGTACCGTAGCAAAATGACAGCATGTTACATAAAAAAATAGCAAAAATACATACTAAGTCAATAAGGTTTCGATCTATCACGAAAAAACTGATGCGTTATGAGCATAACTACAACTAATGTGTTCATGCAACCCTAATTGCTTTGGATCTAAGTTTTTCACTAGTTGAACATGCAAATTGAATACCAAAGCAAAACCCTAGATCTAGCATATATAATTTCGAAAATTACAAACAAAAAGGGTTTTGATGATTACCTTACTTGTTATTGTAGCACCTGGTTCTTGGTACGTATCCTTTCATTTAATCTTTTAATAATTTGCATTTTTGGCCTTGAACTCGGCGAGTCGAAGGATTAACTCGCCGAGTAGAAGCGAGAAAGATCGCAGGTCTTAAGTGATGGACTCGCCGAGTCGGTTCCTGGACTCGGCGAGTAGACCTTGTTTGAACAAAAACCCTAATCCAGGGGTGTGCACCCTATTTAAACAACTTAACTCGGCCTCCTTCGTCCCATTTATTCCCAGAAGACCCCCATAGCAAACCCTAGCCGTTATTGAGGAATTTTAAGGCATTTAGAGTGATGTTGGTGATTTTGTGGTTCAAGGAAGAAGGAAAAGCTTGAAGGATCAAGAGGAGGCTTGAGGGATTCAGTTGTGACCATCATTTGCAGTCTTCAGAAGGTATAAAGTCTATACCTTGCTCTTTCATTTGTTAGATCCCTCTTTGGGAAGATTTAGGGCTTTTTGAGCCATTTTGGTAGCCAACCATGTTTGCAAACGTGGTTGGGGGTTTAAGCTTCTGAATCACATCATGAAAGGAGTCACTAGGCAGATTTGGGTTGCTTTTGCACCCATGAAAGGTTCCATGTGCCATATGAGCTTGTTTTATGTCCTTTTGAGCTCAAAGTCCCATGCAAGCACGTAAAGGATGTAACTTTACGTGCTAGATCGATTGTAGAAGTTTGGATCTATCTTTTGATCAAAGGATGTACATCAGAAAGCAAAGATTTAGGGTATGGACGTGACCAACTCGGCGAGTCCATTATTGGACTCGGCGAGTCTAAGGGTTTTGCCCTTTCTGTTGAGGGTCAAAAGAACCCAGTTGAGTGTAGAAAGGTTTTTAGGGGGTCCCAGGGAGTGACCCAACGTTCTGGACTAAGCCATTGTGCTGGAAGTTCATGGGACTCGGCGAGTGCATGAACGGACTCGGCGAGTCCAAGGCAATCTCCTTAGAACTCGGCGAGTTGTTCATCAACTCGGCGAGTTGAGGACAGATCTGGTTCATCAGATAAAGGACAACTCGACGAGTTGTTCATCAACTCGGCGAGTCGGATGAGTTTTCATGGGGCGTTCGAATGAGAGAAGAACTCGTCGAGTTGACGGCCCAACTCGACGAGTAGGGTCACGGATGAGGACGAGTAGAGAGTGAGGGACTCGGCGAGTTGACGGCCCAACTCGGCGAGTCGGGTCAACTGGAAGTTGACTTTGACTTTGACTTTGACTTTGACTTGACTTGGCTGGGGGTAAATGGTCATTTTACCCTAAGTATAGAGATCGGTTTCTAACTGAGTGTTTATGGGGTTTGTAGCCGGAGGATTTCCGGAGCAGCAGCGGATGGAGGTTTCCCGCACAGATTATCAGCAGCCACTTGTGCGAGGTGAGTTACCTTCCAGTAGCGGTGGGTCTACGGCCACAATGCCGGCCCACCAGTAGGGATCGTATGATAGATGTTTGTCTTTGTGATATTCATCTGTGTTACTACTACCTGTTATGTTATATGCTAGCGTGATATGATATGTGATAGTAATAGAGTTCGGTTGTTAGGACCGAAGGGTAGGTTAGGCACCCCAGATATGCCTAACAGTATGTTATGATATGTTTAGCTGCTAGCATGATATGTTGTATAAGATAGAGGTAGTAGGAGGGAGAATAGTCCCCGAGATTCGGTTGTTAGGACCGAAGGGTAGGTCAGACGCCCCAGATATGTCTGACAGTAGATTATGCTATGATATATGTGACAGTAGTAGTAGGGGGTGAAATAGTCCCCGAGGTTCGGTTGCTAGGACCGAAGGGTAGTCAGCACCCCAGAATGGCTCGACATGGGTAGGTCAGCACCCCAGAATGGCTCGACATGGGTAGGTCAGCACCCCAGAATGGCTTGACACGGGTAGGTCGGCACCCCAGAATGGCCGTACCGGGTAGGTCGGGCACCCCAGAAATGCCTGGCAGTACGTATGTTATATGATTGTATGGTATGTGGACGATGGGGGAACTCACTAAGCTTTGTGCTTACAGTTTACAGTTTTGTTTTCAGGTACCTCTTCAGCGAAGGGGAAAGAGCTTGCGCGGTAGCGGCACATCATACACACACGCATTGGTTTTCCGCATTATGAGATGTTCTGGGATTGTACTCTGACGTTACTATTATTTTTATGATTTGGTTTTCAGACACGAGAAATGTTTTTATGAAATGATATGATCGGATGATGTTTATTCACAAATGTTTTCCAAAGTATTGATTTAAAAAAATGAAATTTTTGGCCTGTATTTTTGGGATGTTGCAAGTTGGTATCAGAGCCCTGGTTTGAGGGATTTGGGCACACCTTCGGGGGTGTTTGGACTCAAATCGAGGGATTAAAAGATTTTTATAAAGAAATGATTTTCTAAAGACGAAGTAAAAGAGTTTTGAGAAAGAACAAGGTGTGTGATGTGCGCGACCGGCCGAGCTCAAGTAAGTTTTCCCCAGAGTACCCATACAAGTTCATGTTATGATTTACCAGTTTCAGTAGAACTGCATGCTAGAATAGGACTAAGGATCTAGGAATGATGCCTTAGGTGCCTGCTTTATGTGTTTCAGCTTTATGAGCATTGCATGCTAGTATTGAGTAGACAACAGTAGGATAGCCTGTTTAGGTTATGCCTGATAGTATGAGCTTAGCATTGTATGCTAGTACAGTTTCTCGTTATGAGGATAGATTTGCTTGAGTAGTTTCCTGTGTCC